AACTGCGACCCATAGGTGTCCGGTGTCCAATTCATTCGTTTCATGAGTAGTTAGGAATTATTTAATTCAATTACCGAAGCACTCACTCTCGTTCTTAGTAGGGTATTTGCAGCTCATTTCCTTTCGTAACGCTCAGCGATTTGAAGATCATTGTCTTTCGTGGGAATTGTTTTAGTTTGAACGGTCTCACAGGTTAGTTCCCCACAGGCATCAACAAAGGCTAGTTGGCGTACTTTAATTTACTTCACTTACGGTAACGTCAACTTCTTCGCAATGTTAGTTCACCTGGATTCTCTATTTTCACAGTGATAAAATAAATGAATAATAAATGTCTTCTTACTTCTTTTTTAATTTATTGAATATACAAATGTTCAGTCAATTTTCAGAAAGGGGGATGCGGCCGTACAATTCTAATGGGTAATCCAAAGCCGCTGCACGGAATTGTATGGTTAATAGTCATCTAAACTGGAACTAAAACCTATAAGGAAGTCGTATTTTCATCCTGCTTTTTGAAAGGCATTGATTACAACGCCTCAGCCCGAGCTGCCTTTTTTTAGTTGTAAAACCTAACCTGTTCATTCGGAGGATATTCGCGGATTGTCCGTCTGCTCATTTCTGGTATGCGGTGATATTATCGCATTCGCATTAATGACGCCCATCAAAGAAATTTCGGGTTACGCTTTCTAAACCGATCCTAGAGATGTCAATTCCTGTGGCTCGAGCATGTATTAAGCATGTCAGCCATTCGAATATCTTGCCTCATTCTGTTTTACCCTTAAAAAAAGAATTTCAGGGGATCAGCATTTAATCTAAGCTCGAATTCTACGTTTCCGAACAATATTCGCTAATGGCTGAGTTTTCCCGGCGGCAGGGCTGGAATCGCGAACGTGAGTGTTCACTCATAAGAAACCAGAAAAGTTGGCTGGAAACTGTAGCCGGTGATGCATTTATTATAAAATAGTCCTTCATTGGCTGTCACTACATTCATCTTTTTTAAGCATATTCCTATCCGCAAAACAGAGATGTATGCTACCGAGCGCGACCCTGGGTTGCGAGCTGAGATGCTGATAACCCGATTCCAATGCCGGACTAGTTGACCGAGTAGCAAAACAGCTCCAAACGGTGCTGCGAATATCGCCCCGTATCCTATTCCCACAGAACTGCATAAATAGCACCCGTGGAGTCAATTAATCCAAATAGATTTGAAAGTAAGCGGAATCACACCTGTTATTGCGGGCATATGCCGGTAGGCAAAAAACGCTGCTTTTGATAATCTGTCTAAATGATCTTTACCCTATCTTCGAATAACTAGCTTGGTTTGCTCACTAGACTTTTTTCGTAATGTGACTAAATATTTTTCTTCTAGCAAGATTGTGTGTGCAGTTGGATCACGTGTAATAATAAACCCAGACCACACTTCGTTTGACTGAGTCTGAAGTCACGTTAAGATCCCTCATTTCAATACCCATTTTACAACTATTTCATGTCAATGTTTGTATTTGAACATATCTAAAAACCTACCCCGTATCCTCGTCCTAATTTGGTCGTTTATTTCACTCCAATTTTTCTTATCGTATCTGATAGGAAAGGGTAATAAAGCTTTTTGATTCATACTATGCTGTTTATCGGTCTTTTTTCAGATCCTCAGTCTCTCGTTTTGTCTTGCTTACACTCATTCGTTCATGACACAACTTATGTTTGTCACTTGAATGTCTCATCCCGAGGAAGACCAGTTCAGTGTGAGCGAGGAGTTTCAAATCGTCGATGCCTCGCTTTTCAGTCCCAGTTCTTCCAACAAACCAGACTTAGAATTTCATCCAAATTTCCCCTGTCCCGTGTGTGGCTCATTTCAGGGCCACTTTCTCTGTGCACAATGCGTGAATTCCGGCTCATTTACCAGTTCCCGTCGTTCGACCAATCTCACGTAAGTGTTGTTCCAAATGCAGCTTTTGAAATTTGAATCAAACTAGATGAGTAGTCGTTTGTGGATCACTTCCCAGCGTCAAACACATTTATTCGTACATCTTCATATTTTTAATTCTGTTTTGCCATATATCGAAAGGCGGATTGTTAATTTGAAGAAAGGCTCCTCAGAATTGAGTAACTGCCTACTTAGTTGTCAACTTTCAATTTTATTTGTCTAAATCCTTCTATTATTTTATCACATGTGATGGAAAAGGTGGAAACCTACCACTTCTAGCGTATAGAGATGCTACTGGTTTCATGTGACTTGGTCTCTAACATCATTGCAACGCAGTCGAGTTTCTGCAGGACACTCGGATCAACTTTTCTGAGATCTGTCTGAGAGTTCTAACCGGTAGATATACGGTACTGAAAAGACTAGTTTTTTCAGGTTGCGATTTTCGTGGGCTGTGTTGCACATATGCTCGAATAGATTTTCTCAGTGAATACAATCCACCGGAATAAGCGATAACCAGCGCATAACCCGTGTCAAGCAAAGTAAATATGGTTAGTAGTTTGCAAAAATGGAATATGCCATCTGGCGTATAGGTGAAGAGAAACAATCTACCCAGTGGTTGTATGGTTAATTCACTCACGCTTTTGCCAACAAATATCTCGGGTTTAATTCTCCATTGTGTCGGCAGATTCTCTTTGCAACCCCTCTAGTTTACGCTTGTAGGCAATAGACTTCCGCACTCAACGATACTGATTGAACTCTATTTCTTCCGCAACTGAGCAGTTCCTTTCGCTTTTTCCGCGCAGCAGACTGCTAGAAACTAGTCACCAAATCATAACGCTTGGTTCGAACGCTATTTAGGTTATCTGAACGAACACGGTTGTAGAGTTTAGTCTGATGATTCGTCTTCTTCGAATGTCTATCTTTCAAAATCAAATTTCCATCAATCAGCCAAAGAAATCTTTGCTCTGTTTTTCATATATGATCATTACTATCACCTCATAAATAGTTTTCATTCTTTTTACCCTTACCTTTTCTTTTAGATATGCGGAGATTTCTGCTCGTCTATCCCTTATCAGCCTTGAGTAAGTTCTGTCCTGTTGAATCAGTCAGTCAAACCACGCAATGCCACTCTCCGTCTTTAGAATTCGATCTGTCAACGAGACCCTTTCCAATCGAGGTCTTCCAAAAACTGTGAGTGGTCACGCAAGAATGCCCTTTAGAATAACTCAAACTACAAAATAAAATATCTTGTTGCAGGATTCGGCAAAAGAACTAGAAGCTCTTGTTGGACTTTTGCAGACTTCAATAGCCTATCACAAGGAACAAAATGAGAAAAGTATAGCCACGTTTTTTAATGGAGTTATGCGTTCTGCATTCTATTTTTTCTCTCTATCTCAACAGAAAGAGAGCGTTTGGATCGAATTAATCAATCGATTTTGCGTTGTCGCAGCGAGATGCGTCAACTATCCGAACGTAATACGGAGGTCCTGGTCAGATTCAGTTCGCTTAGCAAGAAGCGCCTAATTTTGTCAAAGAAGATGGCCACATTGAGTGGGCAAATCGAGTCACGACGTGTGCGCAATCTGAAAGAATTGCTGGTCATTCTTTTTCCGGTAGATTTGGCGGTGAGTAGAACTGCTTTTCTTTCATCTTCCTTAGGGGAACATCTAAACTGGATCGGTAATTTGGTTCACCAAAGTAGATGAAAAAAATCTGTAAAGAATCAACTTCATATTTTCACTGATCATTGAAGTAAACTCAAAGTATCAACCGTCTACTCCATTTCATCAGTTCCGGTACTCGCGAACCGCATCACTGATGATGCTCGTGGCTCGAAAAGCGAATATTGCGTTTCACATTCACAACAGCACTAACCGAACGCTACGACACGGTCGCGTGATAACTAAGCGGTATTGCTCCTCCGCACATAAGCCCGAAGATTATAAGTTCAAATTCTCCTTTTCTTCCTCGTCCGCGAATCGCACTGATTGGCTAGATCTCTTTTCTTAAGAAAGGACTTCACAATCATCTTCTCAGTAAGAGGAATGAAATAATTTTTGCTATTGCTATTAGTAATAGTAGTAGTAGCGGTAGAGAAGGAAAATTTTGTAGTCCAGGTGATTGAAAATACTTTCCCTAGACCCAGAAGTTGACAAGATTAACTTATTACTCATGGGACGAATTTGGTCTTACGCCAAGAAACATTAGTCCTACTTTCCGCCAAAGATGGTTTGGATATTCAACTCCATCGCACTCGTGTATGGGGACGGTAATGTAAACTACCCCGGTGCTTGCCCATTTCGGCTTTAATAAGCACTATATACCCGCTTTATCCATTGCGATCATGTGAAGTGATCCGCCCTCACAGATCAGTAGCTCGGCTCGATAACTCCCCTCACAGTTTGTTGGGTTAGCCGTTTTATGCCACAATTTTACTGTTTGTTTGAAGCAAAAAGATTCACTTCTAGTTCAAATGGTGCAAGTGTGCTAAATGGTTGGGACAATTCTTGTTCACTGAAATTTCTAGACACATTTTCACAGCTCACCGGCTATCGGGCGCACAGTTTATCTTGAACTTCTTTGACCGCAGTGTCTGGAGAATTATCTTTTTTCGCTGTCCTCAGATGTCAGATTTCTCTCCCAGTTTTCTTTTGTCCCCAAGACTGCGAAGTTGTGGAACACTCTTCCCATCTTCCTGTTTCCAAACACATGATCGCACTCTTTTCAAAAGCAGGGTTAACAAATTGGGTTTCTCCAGAATTCCCCCCCCCCACTTTCCCCCTTAGTTTGTCATTATAGGTTTACTCGTTTTGTTCTAAATCATTTTGTGCATAATAAAAAAATAACAACCCTGATCTTGTTTCATAACTATGCTTGTTTTTCTTACGATTTCCTTTCCTGTTTCCTGGTTTCAGACCAATAAGCAATCTCCGGATGAGTTCGTTCGTTCCGCTCTGCTGATTGACCGAGTCAATGTATTCGTGGGTGCGTTTGGGTTTTGTTACTGCTCACTAACTAAGCACAACCGGATGATCAGAAGCAGAGTTTACTATAGATGTTTATAATACAATT